TGAATTCTTTTATGGGGAAGGGGGAAATCTCCTTACTTCCTATTTTTTTTTATCAATAGCAAAAGTTGATCTACCTTTGTTCTCCACCTGCCATATGTCCTCCTCCTCTTTTCCTTTACCTGGCTCTGGAGACCATTGTTGGCAACTAGCCAAACCATCAGTCTTTTGTTGTTGATGCATGTCAAACAGACTGGATTAAGCAGAAAAAAATACTATTACTAGTTAACCAGCTTACTACTTAGTCATTAATTGCTACGACTATTGTGCCATTCTGCACTCCCTCCTTGCAAAACAACTAGATAGATGCTTGTTCATATTGCCAATACATTGTTAAATATATGAGTGTTTCCCTTCTGTTTCCTTTTGCAAAATACCATGCTTCTGTGTGTAATGCAAGCATTAAAGTACACTTGCAGCTTTAAACTATTGTTTTGGGGGAAAAAAATACAGTTTTCATTGACCCCAGGAAAAAAAAAAGGGGTTTCATATAAACAGTGAAGCTTATGAGAACTGTATGTCTCATTTACAGACTTCTGTGAATGTATTTAGCATTGTTTGAAGCAGTGTTTTACCTAGCCTGGAAAATGTTGCTGAAAGTAAAGAAGACCATTGACTTTCTACAAAGGAAAGAAACGAAAGGATTAAGAGTTAAGCACTCGATTTTCAAGAATAAATAAATCACTACTTAGGGAGTTCTGGGACATGCAACTTGAGAAACAGGTTTTGAAGGGCATGATTTCAACTTACTGACTTGAGTCAGTATTAGGGCTCAAGTGGAATGACTTAAGTGTGACTTAAAAGTGGACTGAACATTGAATTCCTAAAAGTTACAAAGTAAACTTTTTCTGGAAAAATTAAATTGGTGCTTGAATCTGCCACTTCTTCACTGTCAGATTATTTAAGATTAAAAGCATATTCATACAAAAATGATAGTACCAAAGTAAGAAAAGTAGAAGAGGTGAGAGGGGGACAGGACAGTATCTCTGTAATCTTCTTGCTTTCCTTGTTCTGCCCATCTCTCCGATCTCCTCCCCATTTGAATATCAAGAAACTGGTCATGGTAATGACATTTTGGATAATGATTACATTTTACTTCACAACTAGTCTCCTTCAGAACAATTCCACCTAAATCAAAGCTGATGGCTACTGATTTATTTGTGTTTAAACTTCTTTAGGGTTTTTACTTTCTTTAGACTTTTGTCTATAATCAGAAAAAAACCCCTTCATTTTGTTAAAGGAAGTTGAGTAATTCAAGTGTTCTGAATTTGACATCAGTTCGTTACTGTATCTCAGACGGACATTTACACCAGTGGAAATTAGAGGCAAAAGGCTGAAGTAGGATGTTTTGCAACTTTTCTTCCTCCTCTGAATCACATTTGCTCAATTTCTGCTTTCAGTGTTCTGAATGCAGAATTAATCATCCCTGATTTCAAAGTGGCTGTCATATTGTCAGGCTAGTTATACCTATACTTATACTGCAAAAAATTAAACAACACAGAAGAGGTCAGAAGATCTCTCAGAGATGCCTGAATTCAAACAGGGTCAAGATACTAGAAGATTTAACTCTTGCTCCAGGGTATTCTCTATTTCAGATTGTGCCAGTGCTGCTTCAGATTTCTGCTGAGAAATGGAACTCCAACTGTTTCTTTTCTTGTGAGGTTTAAGTTTTATGATTGTGTATGCTTTGCACTGTCCTGACTGCATAAAATAAAATCTTGTGCAGTTCTGTATTTTTGATATATGATGGTAGTATGAGAGGCCCGCCAGTTAATATTCTAGTCTAACACAACAGTAGCTATGGTTTCTGAGATAATTTGAATCTATTGTGCACCCTACACTTAAGCTTTGCTGCCACAGCAAAGATGAGAGACCTAGAAATGGAGGTAAAGGGAAAAATGAATAATTATGTACATCTATTTTCTGAAAGAGTTCTCTGTGTCAGGATGATGGGAAATATTTGCTCAAAGATCTACTGAGATCAAACAGCAAAGGTAATTTGTGTTCATAAATGGTTAATTGTGACTTAAAAATACCCTTATTGACAGGAACTGCAGGATAAATGTCATTGGAACTTCTTGTTTTTTTAATACACCTTAAGAAATTAAACAAAGCAAATGCATTTGGTGGCGCCCTCAGGAAAAGTCCAGTCACTTCCTGAACAGTAATCTGCCTGTGAGCAGCAGATAGATTCTCATTGTTTGCCATTTCCAGTTTCCAGTAATGGGAATGATTACTTGATCCAGCCAGTTTCTATTGAAGATCTGGGAAAACTTACACATTTTAATGGCAAAATTTGGTCTGTTTCCATAAAACAACAACAGGAAAAAACACAACCTGGTTTTGGTACCTGGAGGCATCACCTCTGATGATGAATATTGTTTTATTTTGGAACTGAGTGTCTGCTCTTCAGGAACGAGATGTATCTTGCTTTTCTGGTGATTCTCTTGCAGTGTAAGTTTGGTAACTAAATATCTGGGTGGGTACATGTGTTATTGGTTTGTCTGGGGTTTGTTGGGGCTTTTTACTGTTTCCCATTACTGTCTCTCAGTCTGTAAGCTTTGAAAATAACATTTCTTTTCATTTTTTTTCAGGTTCAGAACTTTACACTCAGGAGAGAGGTAGGTAACAATAGGGTTTTTTTTCACACACAAATTTAAAATAAGTAATTTCACTAATTCCTCGTTGTTGGTGTGCAGCCATAACAGAGTTTTATCTGAATTTGCGGTACTATAGCTCAGTACAAAATTTGGCCATGTTAAAAAAAAAAAGAAGAAAGGTATTACTTGGTGTTTCTTGGTATAGTGTTTAAATGAGAGATGTGCTGCTCGTATTTTAATAAATGTTGCGGTGAAATCTTTCCTAGACTAAGTTGCTTTACTGAGGCATACAAGAGAAGAGATGGGAGAGGAAACTTAATTACTAGTACTTTGTTTTGGTCTTTAAAAACCCCTCTCATGCCCACAAGCAAGGAGGTAGGATAAAATTATAGAATATAAGTTAAGGGCACTCTCTCTTGCAAAAGAAAAGATCATGTCTGAGCAGAGTACAGAACTTGCGTTCTAAAAGGAATGCGTTTACTTTTTATGTTATCATCTTGCTGACTTCCAGCACGTACACTCTGCATAACTCCTTTTTTCCATCACTAGGGAGAAATGTTTGCTTCTTGTTGTCATGTAGTCTATTCACATACAAAAAAATTTACAATTTTTTCATTGGTTTTATGCCGAAAACTCTCTCTAGTGAGGACAATTTATAAATAGCTGGTATGTGTTCATGGCAAGGGACTTCTTTAGGTGCAGGAAAGTTTTCCTGTTCTAGTAGCAAATGTGTAATACAAATCCTGGCCAGAATGGGCATACCCGAAAGCTGTAAGTTCTAAAGGAACGGAAAGTGAATGAACTCATAAATCTTTCTCTATACTTGTTCATCTAGCTGTGTGAATAAAAATATTAATTATACCAGGATTCTATTGATTATAAAATTTTAAGCTACAAATTATTTATCATTGCTGTGGTTATAAACAAAGAAGTACTCTATATATATATTAAAGCTATTATAAACTTTATTTCTTAAATTGCTTATCAATTTTTAATTTTTTTAAATAGGAATATTGTATTCAGTATATTTTTTCAGGGAGTAATATGTCTAAATTCTAAATTAATTGAAAGCATTACTTCTGCATATGATTATGTATTTGAATTAATCAGGGTATGATTGCTGGGCTGCCCACAATGTGAAGTTAGGCATGTACATGTTTGCTCGCAGAACCTGAACATAAATATGGTCTGTTATGCTCTAGTTGTCCTAAACTAGAGATTTAAGATTATCCCAAGCTTGTGAGTTACGTGTTTATGTGTTTAAACTTGCTGAATGACATAACACTAACCTTACTTTCAGATAAAAAATACTGGGATAACTTCAGGATTTCTGCTAATTGGGGATGAATTGGCTTGGGGTTCAATACAACTCTAAACAGGGTTTTACTGTCGTTTTTCAGTTTATTCAAACAATATAAATACAAAATTTTGTTCACCTCTCCGATCTGCCAATTGGAGTTGAAGACCACATACCATGAGAAATAAGGAAAACCAAGAAGTAGCTGCAAACCTGTTCCAGTGTCCTCTGTGTCTTCTAGGGAATTTAGTAGATTTGACCATGAGCATGGCCACGAGCATGGCCAAATCAATGACTCTCTCAGTCCCTCAAGGCAAAGACTGAGCAGATGGACAGTGTGTGCTGTGTCAATGAGTAGTTGCCTCTAGTATGTCTGTGCAGTGGAAGGTAAAGCTGATATCACTGTCAACATCTGTGAGATCTGACCACATATAATACCAGCTACTAGGGTGTAATGAATTAATTCTTGTGATTAAAATGTATCGGCTTGAGATAACATTATTATGTTGGACTAATTGTAAATAAATATAACTCTTTTTTTTATTTTCCATCAAGTTTTTACTTTCAACACAGTTGAAATCAAGGTTCAGCCATCTGTCGAAGTAAAGAATGGAGCTCCTATGTCAATTGTCTGCCATGCCGATATTAGCAAAAATACTGATTTCCGGCTGAAGCATAATTTTACAATTTTTAAGGATAGCAAGCTTGTGTTCACGAGTGTATCAGACAAAGGAGATGCACAATATGAAATAGCTATGGCTAGATCTTCAGATACAGGAGACTATGAATGTGCTGTGGAAGCAGGCGGAAAGACAAAATCTAGTAACTCCTTACATGTTTGGGTAACAGGTGAGTATTCCTTTGAACATGGCAGTTATCTAAGATGCAAAAAGAGAACAACCTTCCAGAGGAAGTAATGGTAGTCAGTGCTAAATAGGATATCTTGCAAAGTGTTTTTTATCCGTAGACATCACAGTACTTCACAAGAATTTAGTACTAAATCCTCATGTTAAGGCACAGAAATGAAATCACGATCCCAAGGCTACATGGCAGATCAGTGATAGTCAGGAATGCAATCTGTGCCTCATGTGCCACTATCCCCTCTGTCCTGAGCCTCTGTTCCCTAGACTAGAGAAAGTCTTATTTGTGAAAGCTTGCGCCTATAGATCATAAACATGATGGGGTGCAGGTAGGTTACTGGAAAAGCTGGAAATAATGTCTAGAGATTCTCACCTTGTGACAGCCATTGCCAAAGCTAGTATCAACGGTGGACTACTTTTGTAGGCAATGTTGTATCAGTCCTGTTCTTTATCTGTTATGGGAACAAGGGCCACCTCCATCTATACTCTTTCTAGCCATGTGTTCTTGACTGCAAATGACATTTTTCCCGTTGGAAAAGCAACCTGTAAAGAATTTGTTCAGCATTAAATAGTTACAGGGTTGTGCAGGGCCTATAATTTTTCTTCAGAGGCCTGCACCTCTAGGTACAGAAGTTGGGATGGCATTTAGTTTCTTTGCTTGCTCATTTCTGAGTGACAATAGGAAACACTGAGGAGGAAGCAGTCTTACCTTCAAAACAGCAAGTTTCATACTTCATGCATTACATCAAGATTGTATTACCCTCTCAAGGGACTTTTTTTTTTCTTCTGAAGGTGCCTTGGCACGCATCCACATATCAAAGGAACTGTCGTCAAAAGTTCAGTTCTTGCAAATTACTTGCATCTGTTCGTTAGCATGAATCACTACCATAGTCATCAGAGATAGTGTTTATTTCAGGATAATGCAATGTTCTATTTCTTTTCTTGTTTCCTGTTCTAAGGAATGACCAAGCCAATCCTGACTGCTGAGAAAAAAGAAGTTTTAGAGGGCGAAGTTGTGAAGTTACGTTGTGAGCTGCCAGAAGAAGTACCTCCTTTAGATTTCGTTTTCCGGAAGATAAAGATGAATTCAACACCTAAAGAAAAACATGTATTTGAACCATACAGAAATTTTTCTGTAGTGGGATTTTCTGTTGAAGAGGGAGATAATATTTTACAATTTGATTGCTTTGGTAGCAGAAATGTAAAACTCAAATTTGAAAGCTCAGAACATAGCAACAAAACACTTGTTACAGTCAGGGGTAAGTTGCTTAGCTTTTCTTTTTACATTTCTTTGCTTGATATAATTAAAAAGTTGGGTCATGAGTTTATATGTGTTCTCTTGCAGAACCATTTATAAAGCCTACTCTAAATGCCAAGCCCTCAAGTAATATTACAGAAGGAGACAGAATACAGTTTGAATGCTCAACTGTGGTAGCCCGAATGCATGACATTGAAATCATACTCCAGAAAAACAAAACAATACTGAACAGTGTACGAGATGAAAAAATTTTGAAATACTCTGCAGTAGCTACTCTAGAGGACAGTGGTGAATACCTGTGCAAGGTGGAGCAAGGGAGAGCGTCTAAAACCACCAAACTCAATGTTGTTGTGTCAGGTAACACCTCTGTTCATCTTAGATTTTACTCAATGGATTAATATTTAAATTTAAAATTAGTAGAATTCAAGATCCAAGTGTAACCTCCAGATCCAAGAGCAATTTTTCCCTAAGTTAAAGGCTATTTAGATTTAGATTTCAGTTTCTGATTTTTGCCTGCCAGTACTTTCCAACTGAAATAATACTTTCAAATAACACTTATAGGAAGTGGTTTCAAGTGATTGGTAAGTTTCTGTTTTCCCTGAAAATATTATTATATCAAAATAACATAATTGTGGTTTTTTCCCTGATTGTAAACTTTCAGTATGTCCTTCATTCTGTGTACTCTGAGATAGATAGCCATATTCTTTCTTTTAGGCTCAATTTGAATGAATTTGTTCTCTTTTTTATCTTGCAGAGTTATTCCCCAAGCCAACATTGACTGCTTCTATGAGTAAGGTGGATGAAAATAAAGAATTAACTTTGAGTTGCAGCGTTAGTGGTTTTCAGAAAGCTAACTTCTCTATATTACGGAAAAATTCAAATGGAGACATCTTGTTGAAAAATTCTAGAAACTTAACAATGAGAGTTAATGTGAATGATACTGGATTATATATCTGTAAAGCTGAAGTAAAAGGAATAGTCAAGGAGAGCACACCTGTAAGGATAAATGTTTATGGTGAGTTGATACAGAGACTTCGAACCCAATGGTGGGGGGAAAAAATCAAAACTGTAAGCATATAAATAAGCACATCTGTTAATGGAATCAGTCTGTAGTCCATGAACTAGCAGGGTGTCTGTTAGTTCTTGCAATATTAATTTCTGTGACATGTGCTTGTCATCTTTAGCTGTAGAGGATTTGTCTGACTTGATTAGATCACGACAGGCCTTTTCCAGGGCTGGCCCTAGGAGAAGGGAGTTAGCATGTCTTCCTTCTGTTCCCTTGATTCTGCTAGGTGCCAAATAAACTCTCATTCATTACCATTTGCAGGAGCTGGGAATGTTCTGCAAACTTTTCACTCATCACTTTGATCTGAAACTGTCAGTGTCTGCCTTGAATCCCTCCCCCTGACCCTCCAGGCAGAAAGCCATGACAGCCAGAGGTCATCTGGATAGCTCTACTCCAGAAAAGCCAAGTTTTTTGCTATCAATACAACCCCCTCACTAGCACACTAATTGTAAACACCCTAGTTTCCTTCCCTCTCATGGAACAAGCACAGTCGGTTCTCAAGTCTGTAAAGAGGGATTAACTGGGTTGTGACTCACTGTGCTGCCGAAACAGAGGTCCCTGAGTAGGTGCTGCAGGATCCATCTCAGGTAATACATGCAATGGTACTTGCATATATTTTTGCTCTACAGACTTGGTCCTTGGGTCAGAGTTAGTTCTGGAGTTTGGATGATCCACAGCTGTGTCATTGATCCTTTTTTTGTTTTTCTTTACATTATCCTTGTATGTCATTTTATTCTAAGTCACGTATGTTCTATTATTGATGTTTTTGTTTTGTTCAAGTCACCCCCTGCTTCCATTCTACCAATGAGGAAGAGCTTCCCAATATAGGCTGTGTGTACAACCTAGCTAAATATTGTATATTTATACGTTTTCTATTAAATAATATTGTAACTTTTGGCCTTATGCAGTGTAATTTGCAACAATTTTTTCTTTTATTCCCTTTTTAGCTCCAGTCTCCAAGCCAACTATTTCAGTTGTCAGTGGTTTACCAGAGGTGGTGTTAGGGAAGCCTCTACGGTTAATCTGCCATTCAGTGATGGGAACACCACCAATAACATTCACATTCTACAAAGGAAATGAAGTTAAGAAAACAGTAACTAATGACACATATGCTATGTTCTTGGATGAAAATATTAGACAAAATGACAAAAGAGGATACAAATGTGATGCTAGAAATAATCACTCCAGTGGTATGAAAACTAGCAATATTCTAAACATCACAGTAATAGGTAAGTCTGTTTAATTCTTCTTGTCTAATGTCATAGTTTGATTTTTGAAACTATAGCAGCAAATGATGGACTAAGCAAAATGGATGTGAAATGTTTACAATTTTTTGCTCGCTTGAATTAACAATAGTTGGAGATCTGTATCGCAGACTATTTGTTACTAAAGTAAAAATCCTGATAGTAATCCAAATCAAGCTAACAATGATTGAGTTTATTTTAATGTTAAAACCAGCTCTGACTTGAAATCTTATAGAAGCTGTTTTAGTAAAATTAATGATTAAAAATTTCAGGACCAGATCTATTTTCTTCATATATGTTTTTCACAGCATGGATTAAATGTATAAATAATATTGGAGTTAGTCTATGATTTTACTAACTAAAAGAGTTGAGCTAGCTAGATTCCTGGTAAAAGATGTAAATCCACACTTTTAATAATCCCTCTAAATACCTTTGTTATTAGTTGCAGTTTTCAGAGGCGCTGAGCATATATGTTCAACACCAGAAACTGCAATTGCTAAGTAGCTCTGAAAGTCAGTCTATTATTATGCCTTATTAGCAACTAGGAGTTACTATATATGAGCAAAGTCTCTGATCTACAAATATGTGTGAAGCAGAAAGGGAAAATTCCTCTGCCCATGAGGGAAGTTGCTAGTTGAAGCTTTAAAAACAAGATGAGTTGGAATTCCACAGAAGAAAGCACGATGTCTGATATATGCTGCGAGTCTTAGCAGTACTCCAAGAAGGGGAATGCAAGTGAAAAAGCTGCTCTTTGCAAGTGTGCTATTGGCCGATATGAAGAGACACCAAAGCAAATAGTAATTCTGTAGCAGGCCACGTAAGACCGGTGTCAGGACTCTTAAAACATATGTGTGTGGTTTTCCCTGTCATTACACAGGTAAGGGAGCATCTTGTCTTGGTAGGATTTTTTTAACCAGTATACTGTGTTTCTGTAGATTTGTTTGGTGCACTCAGAGCAGATGGTAGTGAGGTTTCATGTGACAGTTCCTGCTTTAGATCCTAGTGGTTCAAAGGTTTGACTTGAGGAAATTCTGTCACTGATTTAGGTGTGTTCTGTCCCCATCACAAGCAGTTCCTTGTGTGCCCAGAGAACTTACTTGTTAACAATAGGTTTTGCTATAGGCCTTAAGGAAGTTTCTTGGATATCCTGTACCCAAGGTATGGATTGTACCTTGAATTTAATTTTAAAATATTGAGATAAATAACTGTAGAAAACAGAGTAGCTGTTTGAGGAGGCATAGTGAAACCTTCTGCACCAAATGAAGGTCCCGAACAGTTGCAGGCTTCGTGTTGACAGACACTGTCTTGTTGGGGTTTGTCTTTAATAGTGAATGAGGTAAGCAGAAATAATAGTCTCCTACTCAAGTGGAAATAAAGCATTGATTGTGGCTGCTGTTCATGGAGGACCTGAGAATATTCTTAATCTACAGAAGGAACCAACTAATTGTAGGTATGGACCTCTTATTAAAGGAAATAATTTGCTTGTAACATCTTCAAAGTGTTTGTCTGCTCAGTAGTGTCACCTTTACCTTACTTGGTTCAGACTTAGGCAGTTTTGTCAGTCTGATGTTGTCAAAAAATGTGACTATTTTGCTAGTGGTTCAGTGATATGTGGTGAAAGATACGTAGAGCTGTGTATCCTATGCATGTTGCTGGCACCTATGTCGATGTCATTTGACCAGATAGTAACCATGTACAGCTATTGGAAAAAAAATAGAGTTCTTTGGGACTGTAAGTAAGGGAATTGGTGATGGCAGATCCACTTGTAGAGACATTTTAACCCATATATTTGTTTCCTTGCTGCTTTTCTTGAATGTATCAGCAGTATTTTAGATTTACTGAACCTGATGATAGCAAAGTAGTCCAGGACCGGAGCAGAAGTCTATTCTTGGCCTATTGAAGAGAGACTCTCTCTCTACCAAGGAGTTTTCAGTTTTGTGTCCCAGCTTGAACCCAAATTATGTTGGTGTTGATAAGATAAACTTGTGGTTAATAGGCTGGTTTCTCTCTAAGTTTTGACATTGAGTTGTATATGACTAGAACAGGTATTGTTGCATTTCTTCTGAGGAAGTTGGATTATTGCACCGTTGAAGGACATGCTCTCCACTCTCTGAGCTCCCAAACAGGTCTTTTAATACAGTATTTGCATTTGCCTAGACTATAGAAGTAGGGCTGCACCTTAAGTTCATCAGTTCCACCAGGATATGCTTTGCTAACACTAGGGAGAAGTTGAATGATAAAACTCTGAAGAGATTTATCCAGTGAGATTTGAAGTCAAGGTAATTTGAAATACCAAGTAACAAATGAACAACTACAAAGTATAATCTCAGTCCATTATCAAGCGTGTATTTCTCTGCTCGAGCTAGTGTATCCCAGCTGTTAGAGTAGTGGTTCAGGGTATATTGTGACACTGTTTGGAAGTTGTGAATAGAAAGTCACATTTTGGAGTCTAGGGAGCCACTCTTCTGCAGTCCACCACCCCTGAGGTGGCAGCTTCAAATTCTCTGTATTCTGTCCTTTCTGTCTGTACTAGATCTGAAAAAAGACTTGTGTTTTATAGAGCAATCTTCTCTATCATGGGATCAGTCATAGTAACCCACGCCTTATGTGGGTTCCTATGTAATACGTAATATAAGTACAGCTTTCATGACTAGCATCTTTTCATACCAGATCTGGTTTCCTCCTTCTGCTTCTGTACTAGTGTTGCCTTAATGACCCCTCCTTTACATCTGCCTTGTGTTACCCATGACCCTGCCACAAACACATTTATAGTATTTCCAGAGAAATTTTGTTTAGCGATTTTAGCAAAACAGATGCTTCATATCTCAAACATTTTGTGAAGCTACTAACATTCTACATGCCTTGCATCACAGAATGTGTGTACATTTTTTCCCCCCATGTAATTATAAGTGCTGATGCTCATCTGCTCCTATGCTAGCTCTGTGTACGCTAATATACTTAATTTGTAAAACAGCAAACTTAAAAACTGTATTTTGGCTATGCATATTCTTACAACTTGTTCAAATGCAAACTAAATTCTATCATTGTGTTTGCTATATTCTGTAACCATTAGAATTTGGGACTCACTTATGCCTTTGAAGAACTTGATCCATTATCTGCTGATATTCACTATTGTATATTAAATGTTATAAGAAAGATATAATACTTAGCATAAACCAGCATAACTCTACATAACGATGAAAGCATAGCTACATAAATTGAACTATAATTACTTACACTATTGAACTGCTGAATGTATTATTTCTGAAAATCAAATAATTTGTAAGTTGGGGCCTGAGGGGCATCCAAAGAAGTTTAAGAGGCTAACTGACTTCTGTGGAATGGACATAGTTTCCTTCTGTGTCTGCATTGTTTCTTTATAGTGCCCTCTCTATTTCTGGGTGTATAAAAATATTTACTTAAGGATGATGTCTGGCAGAGACTATTCAGAAAGATTAATACTGTGCATTCAGTCTCTGTTTACAGTATTTTATCACCAAAGTTATTTCTAATAGTGCTAATATTTGTTTTCTTTGTGCCTTCCTCTGTAGTACCAATCCGGAATGCCAGCTTGGGCAGTTTTCCGTATGGAGAAGTGGAAGATGGCAGTGACACTGCTTTTCTCTGCTCTGTGAAAGAAGGATCTTGGCCAATTCACTTCAGGATTTTTAAAAAAACTGATCATGAAGTTCTTGTGTATGAAAGAAGTGAAAATGCAGACAGAATGATGTGGCAGAAGAAAGGAATGAGCAGGGAGGACACAGGAACATATTACTGTGTGGCTTCTAATCGAGCTAATGTGGATGTGAAAAGCCATCCAATAACCATCAATGGTAAGCTAACTTTTATGATAAGCTGCATACTGTGTCATCATGACAGGTGAAGTCATGTTGTCTGGGATGTTACCAAGTATAACTCGCTTACTTGTTTTTGTTTCACCATTGTCAGAAGTTAAACAGAGAGATCCATTTATAAACAGAGATTGTCTAACTTACATAGAAAGATTTAAGGGATGCTCAAAAGCCAAAGGAGCCAGATGCAAACTAAAAGCAACCCATTGTTACACTGAGTTTTCAGTCACAAAGGAGAGGCTCACTACTGAACTTTGCATGCAAGTCTCCTTAAAGTTCTTCCCCAGTGTGTAAGAAGGCCAATTTGTAGTAAAGTGAAAGGTCAGGAACTGCAGAAGTTGGTAATGATGACCTGTCACTGTACGTACTCTCTTAAACATGTCTTTCTTATTTCCAGTCATCTTAGCGGCTTGGCAGAAAGGACTCATTGCTGCATTTGTCCTAATGCCTATCGCAGGAGCAGTAACTCTCACTTTGTGGTGGTTTTTGTGTAAGAAGAAAAACGGTAATGAATGGTTCCCTTCTATTTGTTTGGTGACAAATGTATTACAGTTAAACTTGCATTCGTTTCAGGAATAATGTCTTGTGGGGGTGAGGTTTCAGGAGAAGACTAAATACAATTTAAAAAAACTAAAAATCTACTTAAAAATGCCGGGTGGCCCAAATTAAGCTGCAAGTGTGCTAAAGTTTTCCAAGTATATTGGGCAGAATGGGAACATCTAACTAATGGTGCTGGAAAGGCACTAGTGAAGTGAAGTTTATGGGAGATAGGCCAGAATTGCACTGTTCTGATGCAGTCCTAGGCCTGGAATTCAGTCCCCTGCAATGTAGAGGCAGACAGGGCCTGAGGAGTGTTTTGATCCCTTATAAAGCTATGATAATTTGATTTGGGGTCCCAACTCAGGGGTAATTGAGGTACTTCTCTAGTCCTCATGAAACAAATTTAAGATCATTAGGTTGTGAGGTGGGTTTTTTTTTCCTTCCACACTGTAATACAATTTCACTTAGGGATTTGTCTTTTATTAGTAAGGTATTCTTTCAGATCTTGTTCTTTCAGAAAATAAGTAAATCTGGTTTATCTTCTGATATGCATTCCAAAATATTTGGGAAAATTTGGAGTATCTGGATGTTCCAGACTGCTTAAATTGGCCAGGCTAAAATCTGGGGTTTGGGATCTTAGATCCTCTGTGAAAGAGACATTTAAGGGACCTGGGTGATAAACAGGATGTAAGACACTAGGTAATTAATTTTGTGATAGCCAGGAGAAATTATTCTGACTTGGGTAGATAATCACTATATTTTTGTTTTTATTTTAACTTTTAATTCTTTTACTTGTGCAATCTATTAATAGATGGTTTTATTTTTCTCTGTCAAGCTAAAGGACCATCCATGGAGATGTCTGGGTAAGATGGCTTGCTTTATGGTAATAGTGAAGTATTTCTCTTTAAACAGCTGGAGGCCTTCCACCATGTGAATATAGTTTATTATGGCACACACCTGCAGACAATAGATGGTTGTGCTTCATGTACCACCTGTTAACACAACAACAGGATGAGGAAATAATCTAAAAATAGGAAAAAAAGTGACCAAAGAGAAATAGAAGAATGTCAGGCCTGCATTTGAATGAATTTAGATATGGAATCAAAAATACAGAGGTCTTTAAAAACAGTAATGCCAGAGGGAATATTTTTGACCTTAAAGTTTCTTTGTGCTTCTCTTAAAGACAAAGGCAAGATTTTCATTAGCTTCAATAGCTAAGAATGTGTGGTAGTCAGCATGACTGATCTTTGCATATCATCAGGTTGTTTTTATTGACTGGTTTTGGATAATTACAGCAACTTTTATTGGTTTGCTTTTCAGTTCTGCCTTGGCTACAAACTTGACAAGTGAAAAACTGACAAGACAGCACAGTGATGGAGACTACTATTCAGGTAGGATATTTTCCTGTAAGACTATTAGTAAGTTCTCTTAATTAAATGTTTATTTAAAGTTTTGGACTTACATGGTGGTTGTTTGGATAGGGCCCAGTGTTTTGGGAATACAGAGGAATACCAAGAACATTCTCCCAAGTATTTTCTATTATTTTGTCTTTGTACAGTTTTTTATGAGCATGTCTTACACAAAGATTGGTTTATAAGTCTGATAAGACACTTCTACCACGCAATCAGTTAACAATATTAGAGATGGAGAAATCATGGTAAAAGAAAATTACTTTCTGTTTTTGACAGTTTTGACACAGCTGCAAGAAAATTATTTCAGAGAGGAAATCTGAGTTGTGGCACATGATTCTGTGATGTGGCCACAGTATAGCAATGTTAACTTGCCATGACTGGGCACCTTTCATTCCAGGATCTCAATGCACTTTACAAAGATAGGTGGACATGTTGTTTAGAGCACCTGATATAAACAAACTTACCCCTTGGGTGTTTTTTAGCTGATCATTTAAAAAGCTACATTATTCCCACCTGTGTTATATGAATGTCTTAGGTGTGAATCTGAAAGTAGAATTTCCCATATATAAATAAATATAATGACAATAGGAATTGCAGCTATGTAACTCATTTATTTGATTTGCTATAATAAATATTATGTCAGCTCAATTTTTGCTTTCATATTTTAGGATCAGGTTACATTGAAGATAATGAAAATCACATGAAAGCAACAGATGAGAGTAAAGGTAATTTAATGCTTAAACAATAGTTTTTAAAATTATTTTGTGATTGAAAGTTGTGATGTTTTCTAATGGTAGTAATCCGGATTTGATAGGTCCAGTCATTTCCTTTTTCTCTTTCATAGTGAGGAAGACTCTTTCCTTTGCTGAGCTTAGTTCTTTTTCCTTACGTGCAAAATGACAATGATAGGACCCATTTACAAACTGCATTATGAAATGTAATTAGTTGTACTGGATTCCAGGCCATCTAATGAAGGGATGGTATGAAAATACAACTTAGACTCAAAATTTCAAGTTCTATACAACAAATATTCAGATTTTTTTAAAAAAATTTTTTCTACAGATGTCTGCTTCTTTTACTTCTCTGTCCTTTCTTCATTTCTGCAGACCTTGAAATATTTAAGCATTAAACCTAAAAATAATGTGCTATGAAATCTGAATAAAATAACCTGCCAAATACCTTGAGACACCGTGTGGATTGTGTATGAATACACATACAGATATTCATTAAAACATGTCATCAAGTACTGCATCATCTAGCACATTGTATTCTTCGAGACTGGTGTTTTTAAGATACATAATCAGAGAATAGTACTTAAATATGTGGATATTGCCATCTGAAAGCATACTTTGTCCCGTATATTTTTGTTTTATATTGATGTGAAAGTATTCTCACAGGTTAGATGCCATTTCTGGTGGCTTATAGTACATTTTGACTTGGTTGTCTACTGGACCATGAGTTGAAAGATAGTTGGAAAGGCATCTAGTGTAACTAAAGATCAAAGTTAAGCTAAATTTAATCCAGAGCATGGAACTAGACTCCTGCATAAGCCTGTATGCAACATAGGTGGCAGGAATTTCCAATCAATAATTCTTTGATCCAATTCTGAGTGTGCAGGGCAGCATTGTACCACAAAACTAAGAGAAAGGTGATGCACTAAGTTAACTTCACATGAAAACTTGGAAACAACCTTTGGAAACCCTAGCTCTGTGACTCTTGTTTTTTCCATTGTATCCTACCTGTTTCAGATGAAACGGGCTCTGGTCTAATGATCTGCATGTGTGCCAGAAATAAGTAAGTTCAGTCTTCACCTACTGTGGATTGGGCAGCTTCATTAAAACCAACCAGGCTATTGCAGATCTCCCTACCAGATGTGAAAAACATATACCTCTAAAAATAACAGTATCTATTCTGCATTTATGTGGCAATAGCTTTTACTTCAGCAAGCAAAAGGAAGGAGCTTATAGTTGGTGCATGGAAGTTATTCCATTGTGGCCTGAATAAGTCAAATTAGAACTAGAGAGACATTCTCATGCAAAACAAACATACAGATAGCAGAAAGATAGGAACATAAGGCTGTATTGATCATTCAGAATCACTGCTAGTATAGGAAGCATGTAATTTAAACTTTGTTATTAACTAATATGCCAGCTTAAACACTGTTTTTGTTTTGTTCAGCTTTTTTTTTTTTTCCTTCTCTGACCAATGCTATTGGAAGGCTGCTCCAAAACTTTGCTGTTCTAATCATTAGATCTTTCTCTAAGTTCTGTTTTAAAAAATGCACAAGCAGTTCTGCAGGATTCCAGTCTGGATGACTGTTGTGGTTCCTTCCAACTGTCATGCAGAAATCTAATAGAAAACCACCTCCACCCTAAGGAAAAGACAGAGTAGAAAGCAACAGCTGTTTCTTGTGTGTTTCTTTTCTTATCCAGGTAGCCAGTATTTCTCAGCCACTAGTTTTGGTAAATCAAGCGTCTAATCATTGTCAGACTTTCTGTGGGCATTGTGGCAGGGAAGCATTTTGAGGAAGATGGGTTGCCATTGTAGATGTTCTGTGGAAAGTTTGAAGGGCAATTTAAAAGTGTTGCAATTGCTTATTGGCAAAGCAGAAACTGAGAGTATGAGAGGTGATGAGGGAGGCCATGAAAGACTTGGAAAAGACTTTAAATGTGAGGAAAGTGGAGAATGGGAAGTGTCCTGCCATAGCAGCCATAGAAAAGGAAGAAAAAGTAATGGCAGGGAGAGAAACAGAAGAGAGAGGAGGTGCAGCAGGGATATAGGAGAATCTCAGATAATTCCCTGCTCCATTTGTGTTGTGCCACTTTTGAAGGTGTTACATTGAAAGTAAGAGTTTTACGTACAATTTGCACATCCCACATTTTCAGTAATCTGGCTTGAGTTGGTCTACTGCCTCTCAGATTGGGATGACCTTTAGGAATGGGTTGGCCTTACCACACTAACAGAGTAACTCATATCTGCCATAAGTAGGGCCTGATCCTGCACCTATGAAAGTCAATGAGGACTTGTCCATTAATTTCAGTGGCAGCAGGATCAGGCCCACAGCTCAAACGAAGCATGCAGTCCTACAAAGAAACATCTTCTTGATATTTTTGGGGCAGGACCTGACCTTGAGAGTGCTGAGGTGGAGTACACTGAAGTTGAAGTATCAACGCTTGATCCTCACAGAGGTAATAAACTGTCTGGCCTCTATGGTTATGTTTTGGGAGCAGCTCTAGGCATGTTGCTACTCCCTGACACTGGCCTGATATTGGCACCTACGAATGTAAGAGCAGGTTGTGTTTTGTGTGCCTGACTGTTTCACGCTAGTAGCGCTCCCTAATCTAAATGGTACTGTGGCAACGGTGCTGCTGTTCGTTGCAGCCCTTCTTCCCCTGGGATCCTCTCATGCGCTTGCCCTTCCCATCCACATGAGGTCTGTGCAGACCAGGGCTCCCAGCTGGACCTGTGGCTCTGGGTAGAAGGCAGACTGCTGTGAATCTTCATGTTATAGAGTCCAAATTCACTGAGAACCATCTGAGGTTAGCCAGAGGGTAGGATAATGGAGAGAACAGAAAGCAGTGGAATTTCCTCCTTTATAAAGGATCTGGTTGAAGGGTCAAAGTTGTAATTCACTTGTGATAGAGAAGGAAGAGAGACCAGCATAGATTTAGTCTCTCAGTCTGGAAAGGCCCGGAGACCATACTGGATTTTGTGGCACATTAAACAGAGAAATGAGAATATTGATGCCCAGATAACTTTGGCCTCCTACCTGTAGTTTTATGGTAACAGTAACCAGACATAGCATGAGGCTAAGGTACATGTCTCTGCAACCCTGAAGAAGAAATATCCACTGAAATTCATTCTCAATACCCAAATGCACACTTCAATCATTCTGTGTCATCTGGAGAACTGTGATATCATTATGCCCTTATGTTGAAAGCTCTTAAATCTTTCAGAAATTTACAAAAAGTTTCAAGTAGCTAAGAGTAAATAAAACCCACAAGGGATGTTTATGCTGTGCTCTAGCTTCTTTGCTTTAGCTGAATGAAAGCAGATTGAGGAAGAAATGGATAAATTTGCTTCTTCCTGGTAGGAAGGACCACTCACTTATTTCAGAGACCATTGTTTAGTTAGTAATACAGATGTTTGGGCAAAAGTGATCACTCTTCAATCTTGGCAGCAAAGCTCTCCTGGAACAGCCAGTCCTCCTATTCTTTCTCTGTTTTCACTTGCTGGTACCATTCATAATAGAGTTTTCCCTGCGTTCTAAGCGTGCTATTTATCCACCTCTGCTAAATTTTGCACTAAGATACCATAGTTGTTGTACTCTTTTTCAGAATACGGCTAATACTTAATTGTTCCACCTGTTTCTGAGCATGTACTACACAATACAATGGTGTAGAATCGTAAAGAGATGCTAGTGCATGCTTATTTAAATTAAGAGCCCTATTAAATGGTAAAGATATGCTAGCGCACGATTATTTAAACTAGAAGCCCTATTAAATGCAAGATCAGCATCTCTAAAAATAGCCTTTTCATACCATTCCTGATATATAACACTATTCCAGTATACGAGACTAAGATACTATCCATGCTCTGTAGACTGAACCCCATTAAACTGCAAAATAATGTTTAATAGATAGTGTGTAAATGAGATCAGATTATTTTAACTGAATGCTGTCTCATGTTACAGACCTATGTATGACATACAGAACATTAATTGATTCTATAAGACTGAATTGTGCTTCAAGTATATTGAGATATGATAGCTCCCTAATCTATTTCTTTTGTTGCACCCAGGACACAAGTGAATGCTTAGCAAGTGCATGCTTTGGTTACATAAATGACAACTGCACTGCAAGTATTTAATGTGTTAATCTTTCAGAGCATCTTGAGGATGCTGCTTAAATGGAAGGAGTTGTATGAAACCAAGTTTCAAGATTAATGCTCTCAGCTCTGCACTGCCTATCACAATGAGAACAGGATGAGATTTATTCTTGGGAAAAGAGACGCAAAGCCAAGTTTCTTTATATACCCTTGTAATAATCACGTACACCCACAAAAATAATTCAGCCATAGGACTGCCACAGTACTTCTGCCATGTTGATGTTATTGTACAAGTTTTGGTTCAAATCATAATATTCTTTCATGTCTGCCTGTGGGTTATGACCAGTCCTTCTTAAGGAACAGACCTTTCAGATTATCACCTAGCTCCAAATCCCCATTGCACCTCTTTTGATTCCACCTATTTTCTGAATGAAGACAAAGTATACCACACTTACCTTTTCTCTGGGCATGCATATCTCATCCAGTAGGCTGCATGTAGAGTCTGATTACTTCTGCCTTTTGAGGAACTCTAGATTTCTTTGATCTCTCAGGACTAACTTCAAATTAATTTACCTTCCCAATCATTTGTTCCTCCTGCCACTGTTGTCAATGTCAATAATGTTCATCTCAGGAGCAGGAGAATCATATTTTGTGTATTGTGAAAGACTACTGCAACAAATGCTGCAGTATCTAAGCTAGAACAGTACCCTTTATGTCACTTTTGGAATCAGGAATAATTGAATGCCACCTCAAAACAAATTTACAGAACTGTAGAAGGATGTGCATCTTGTCTTTGACAGTAAAGAACTACTTACATTTTAAAACAGTGGTTTTGCCCTATTTTTTTCAGCCATGTCTGAACTAGTTGGTCATTTCTGAAATACTTTTTAACACAGTATAATGGTGAATAGGCTAGTGCATCAAGAACTTTATATGTATTATGCTTCTGTATGAGAAGCAAAAAACAGAGTTCACTACAGCGTTACTGATAGTGAATGGTAAGCTTGCTAGAAGCAAAGTTTCACTGCTTTATTTTAAAGCTTCCATGTGGGAATAATTTGATACCTACTTTTTGAAGTAGGGGTGAAGAGGCTAGACAAATATGAGGTAGAGCTGGGGCTACAGTCCAGCTCTTATTTGGGGTAGTCATAATGGAATGTTAGTTTGATATTTAAAGAGGTGATAATTCTAGAGAATGATTAAATTGAGTATTTATGGAGATTATATGCTTGACAAAAATATAGTGCTTATCTTTTCTAAAGCTTAGTTGTGCAAAACGATGGCAAAGTGATTTATACCCTCTGTTGTTATTCTGAGCAAAAGCAAAGGCCAGTGCTAAAGCAAGATCAGGAAATATCCCTAAAGTGAGAAAGGAGAAATGGCTAATCATGGCTGAGTGAGAACATGCTCCGTCTTTTCCTTTTATAGCCGGTTAGTTATCTGCCGGGTGGCAACATGGTAAAGTTAGTGGGAACAAAATGTCAAATCATCCAAGTAATTTCTCCTAACACATTTTTTCAGTGCTGAGATGACTTTTGGAAGATTAACAAAGAAAATAACCTGGGCAGTGGCATTATATCACAATTTAATGAAATGAGTCTGAAAAAAAAGCAAGCTAAGGAAATGCCTCCCACCAAGTCTTTCCATAGAGTCAACAGGAGTAGATTTAGGACTGTAATCTGCTAAAAAAAAAAGTGTTCCAAATGAAATGAGCTATCTCTCATTAAAATTCTGAGAAGATTACATCTTACTTCACTGGAAATGGAATTGATTGTTTAAGCAATAGTCCATAAGCATATCAAATGTGCTTCAAGATCTTCAGACTATTTTGCAAAAAAAGGTCATGCCAAAACTGCAAGTTTGAAAGCTGTGATTAGGCACTCAGTGAAGTGTAACTGCTACTGTCATTAAAATTAATAGCAGTTTTGCAACTCAATTCTGATGTGTTAGCTCCCAACATTTAAAGGATAATTAACAGAATTTAAAAAAATTAAATTAGCTTTGGGAAATTAGAATGTGGTACCAGAGACATTTAGGTTTTTCAGAGTGATGCTGAACAGTAACAGTTCTGATTCTGAGTCTGGCTGCAGATCATTATGTCTGAATTCTTTAAATATTTTTATTTTTTATTGCTAAAGTACAGGACTCTGTATCCAGAAATGTGATTTTTCTTCTAGTTTCTTGCAGAGAGGGAACAACTTTTTTTTTTTTTTTAAACTTTAACTGTAAAAATCTAAGTTCTTGGTTTATTGAAGATCCACAGAAATTGGAAGTGATATTGATAGAATTCTGAGGTTTTCTAAGAGACTCAGTTTAACTGAAATGAACATTTCTGAAACACTTTGAGATCCTTGAGCAGCAAGCTCCTAGACACTGCCTCCATAGGCCTTTATACCAAATGAAAAAAAGTGATTTTAAATGCACAGAGTTCTGGAGCACTTTAATCTACAGCCATGCAAGAAATCAAGGAAATTGTTCTAATCTCCTGCTAGCCAGAGCTGTGTTTACAGTGAGCATAGAGAAACTGAATTCTTGCTATTTTCAGGCCTTTAGACAAAGCTCTGCCCCTTCCTTACTAGGGTAAGTGCCTGTAGTTTGGTGTCAGAACTCTGTGGGTAAGTTTTCACAGATGTCAGATAGCAGAAAAGGAAGATCTTTTTGCTTTCCAACTCATACAAGACAGAGGTTTACAGTGGCTTATTTGTAAACCTAGCTCTGAAAAGTATGTATCTAAGACTAACATTGCATTTGTATCCCAGCTGTGTCCTTGGAGGCACAAATCTTCTCTGCTTTTTTTCCTTACTTTCTATCATTCCACTAGCCGCCTTAGCCTTCACTCCTGCTACGTCTACCTGATCTCACTGCACTAATGGAAGAGTCTGCCACACTGAGGAACTGAGAGGAGACCTTTCCTGGATGTCACCTAAACAGAAGCTGTGCAGTGTGACATCTGCAAATGCTCTTCTGAGACGTTTGACAAAGAACAGCAAATTAGATTATTTTTGTGCCCATAAGATTGAATTAGGCTAGTTGCCAAAAGGAGGTGTAGGCAGTCTTCCAAATGATAGATCTCCTCAAGTCTAGGATCCCTAAATCCTTGGAACAAATTGAAGAAGCTCTTCAAACTGATCCAGAGAAACTCTTCTCTGGTGGTAGATGTCTCTGTAAAATTAAAGCAGTACCAATTTAAGTTGAGAAGATTATTAGAATGTCAAATTTAGAAAGGGAAGCCTATTTTCATCATCATTTTTATATAGAGGGAGAGACATCTCCCTCTCAGAACCTTACAGTCTGGGTTTGGGGAGGGGGGTGCAGTTGCTTTTTCATACAGACTCCACAGCCTCATTGCTGCTTATGTAACTGCTTCCTCTGAAAGTAAAACAGTGTGTTCTGTTTGTTTAAGGAGCTTTTCATAAGGCAAACAAAAAAAAAAAAAAAAAAGAAAAAAGAAAAGAAATTGATTCTGTGCCAATACATTTTCCAGCTCCTGTACAGAAGGGGACTGAAACAGTTTATACTGAAATCAGAAAAGCTAATAATGGTAAGTAAGCTAGTGAAAAATTAAACATATAAAGGAAGCATTTGTATAGAGATTAGGGATAAATTTGTGACTGAATAGTTTAGAAAATAAATGCCATAAGTAGAGATCCAAGTCACGTAGGAACATACTGAAGGGCAGCTATGAAATCACAGGTGTTGATAAATTGTATAACACCTTCATGGTTTCTCATAAACCTATCATATTTAATGCGGTGAGATTCATATTTGTAACATCTACTTCCTCAACCGATTTCTAATATATCTGCTAAGTGGTTGGGCCATACATCTGGATCTGAATCTGGAGCTGAACATGCCCTGTCAGGGATTAGGATGCTATGTTGTGTTACCTCAAACTGCTCATGAACTACACTTTTCCTCTTAGTTTGATCATGTTTGCTATGTGTTATAAAATACTCACTGGTTTTGGATATAACCCCAGCAAATATCTATAAAGCCTCCAATAACAAACTCTAAAAATCTTTAAATCAGTATGATCACTTCAGTAGGGTGAGTTGTTTGTTTTAAGCACCATCAGAAATTGTCTCAGATTGTATGTGCCAGCTGCTCTACCCTTCCACCTCCTGTAACATAGACTTTTGTATGTGGGCATTAGCAGCTTACTGGCAATTACTGTCTATAAATGTTCTGGCAGTAATGAGTTCAGAGACAGTAGGTTAAAAGTGTTTCTTCATAGCTTGTCAAAGACTAAATCAGAAAGGATTGTAAAATTGTAAAAGATTTGTAAATTTTAGGGCTGTAAACTGTTCAGGTTTTGTCCCCATCCACATTGCCAAGTGGCTTTGTTGTGTGCCATTTAAAATTTTTGATAGTTGTGTTTTAATTTGATATTTTTCTATTTTATAAGGGATTTCCCACCTGCTGTGACACAGCATTCTGTTTCTAGGGAATCTTTCATGTGAGGGTCTCCAAGTACTTTAGAAAACATTACTTAGTTTTCCCTTGTGAGGACTTATAAGGCAATTTTTATCTCCATTTTACAGCTGAATAAACAGAGAGATTATGCCATTTGTTTAAGGCACTGTGTTTAGAGAGTGACAACACCGGGAACAGAATTTCAGAATCCTGACTCCTGGCTAGGTGCTGAGCCTGTATGTTGTATTCATTTTTCACAGTCTTGCAGTGAAAAGCAGAATATCCTTTCCACTAAAGAAGAGGGCTAGGCACTTCATGTAGGATCACCTGGCAGCATCATGAGAAAAAAACAGCTCATTTTAGAGCTGAACCCAAAGGCCCCTAATGTTCTGAAACATTTACCAGTGAGTGTGAATTGGACCTGTAACAAGCTGCAGAAGCTGACTGTGTAACCCCTTGCCTGCTTTGTGGTTTTTACACCTTTCACCACTCCTATTTTTGACATAACGGAAAGTGTTATATACTAGAAGGATGTTTTCTGAGTTGTAGTGTAAACTCAAGGTTGGTACAGCAGAGCTATAATTCAAAGCACTTAAAGACTCTACTTGCCATAAAGTGGGAACTGCAATAAAATGAGATATGATTGAAAGACTGAGCTGGATTAGCCAGATGATATGTAAATGCCCCTTAATCTTGCAGTCCACCTGCTTTTTATGCATAACATTCTACAGTTTCAGTTATTCTTGGAAACACAGTAACAGTTTATTGTTTTAATCACGTCTGTTTTTCCTGACTGATACACAGGAAAAGTGTTTCAATTAGATAAGCAGTGCATCACATAGCTATGCAGTTGCTTTGGATAGCTACATTACAGTCTATTTAAATGTAACATTTACTTTGATTTTTGATAGGCTGTGTGATTGCAAGGTGGCAAAGTATAAATGCAGTAGATGTTCCCTAGGAAATAGATCTATATTCTCAAGTAATATATATTAATATAAGTATATTAAAGGCCAATTGTGAAAGATGTTGAACATTACCATGGGGTGCAGAAGTTGGTTTACCATTATGATCGTCACTATGTTTGAATATTCTTTGAGATTTTTGAGCAAATGCCCAAGAGTACAATCTACTTCAGAAAGTTAATGGTTCAGACAAATGTGTCCTCTGGGGAAATTACATGAATTTGGGAATTGGTGTCAGCTACACAGTTTGACAGATTTAACACGTACGACCTATGTAATATTTTATTATTATTTGTTTGTAGGTGACTATTGTGCTTTGGATTTAATTAGAATTGAGTGCTTCATAAGCAATTTTGTCTTTTCAAGGAGTCATCTGTGCATTCCAGAAATTGTGTCCACTAGAGAGGAAGCTGAAGAGCTGTCAGGAGCTGTTATGTCTGATGCAATTCTTTGTGACTGAGCTAAAATATTTTTCCTCTTCATTTTTCTGATGGCTCTCACTGCTGTCCCCAATAAGGCAGATGCCATGTTAGTAACAAACTTCTCTTGTATTTTGAGTTCTACAGGTATTGCTTGTCCTTATCCCAAATCATGAATCCATAGCACAGATAATGCTCTGATCTTTTGCAAACCCCAGGCCTTTGGCAGTGTGCTGAGCATCTGCCATTATTCCTTTTTATTTTCGCCGTATTGGCTATGTTATCTCCTGTTACTATCATTTTAGTGTCTCCATCACGCTATGGTAAGACTTCCCATCCTATCTGCTGCGCTGCTTTCCTTATTCTGAGTACCAGGCCTAAAGAGGTGTTACATTAAAAACAGATAGAAACAAACTGTCAAATGCACATTCCAAATCCCAGAAGACCTGCATGTGGTTAACTACAGTTAACCCATTAACAGTAGGAAAAGCAGCTCATTTGCAAAATTCAAGTCTAGTCAGGTGTATTTTGATTGAAAGTCAAATAATAGTACTGTAGATAGAGAATGTCAGTCTCTTTACTTGGACGCTAAGTTTCCTCTGATGCAATGAGAGGTTTAAGGAGGGTGCCGATCACTAGCATTGTCTCTGGAAGCAACTCAGAGACTAAGTTGTCCTTGCATTGTTATTGAAAGATTAGTTTAGTTCAGAGAAAGATTTAGTGTTCAGGAAGTTCACCTAGGTATTGATTTAAAACCTCTTCTAGAGCAATAGGTTGTTACTTTAGTATTTTACATAAAGTACCTAAAGCTTCAAGCCTCAACTTTAAATCAAACCTCATATACCAATGGCAGTTTGAGGAATGGTCACAGTTAGTACCAGTCAGGTCTGGTCCTGGACCTATGTCTAAAAGCCCTTCACACCTATCAGGGTGAACTAATTTCCTTAAAATACTGCTTTCTCTGGTTGCTCTATGAAAAGACCAAAGTATATTTGGAGTCAGGAATATCCAGCCCGGTCCCAAAGCTGTTGCTTTTTGTTCCGAAAGAACTGAGGCAGTCTGAAACTTAAGCAAAATAGGCAATTGTCTAAATCAACAGACTGCCAAGAATGATAAAATGACTGTGGCCCTGCTGCCTACTTTGTCTGTGCTGGAGTCCCAACAGGCTGGGCTGGCAGCTGATGCTTTTCCTGAGGGAGGGGTCAGGATGTGTCAGATACTAAGTTCAGCTGGGTGGGTGGAGGCTCTTTTAGATGCATGATTTACTTCCATCACACCTTTCATCCTCCCAAGAGGCAGTAGGGGCAGGAAGTCCAAGCATCTCCTATACTGGTTCTTTATCTCAGCTCCACCCCTTCCCTCAGCATTGATACCAGTTCTTGGGGTAGCACAGTTCTGTTCATATTGCTGAGAAGGCTAGAGTCAACTCCAGTTCACAGATTTCCTTGCATTTTTTCAAGGCACTTCTTGTGGAAGACAGTGTATTAGTACATTCTTACTCTGCCTTTGCTCTGTATCAGATCCAAAGCTTACAGCAACCAGTGACAGTCTTTGCACTGATCTTGATGTGTGCTGAATTGAACTCATAGTGGCTTATTGCAAGATAACTATTCCTAATTTCTTATTAGGAAAATGGAAATCTAGTGAACAAAATGCAGAGCCAGCCTTTATGCTGCTAAGTCTGGAAAAATGAATTGGTCACTTGGAAGCAACTGCAGTGGTGAGACAGGAAATTCTAAGAATCCTATTGCAACCAACAATGTACTATGGAAAAATAAATATATCCCAGTGGAAAGAGGCATGAGAAATCCCCGTTGCATTCAGTGGTTTGGAGCAAACTATTAGAAATCAGTTCTAGCAATCAGGAAATCTGCTCAAATACTTTCCTGCTACTGAGCCTCGGGCTTAACACCTCTGTACTCAGCCAGAATTTCCCACCAAACATCTTTTCCAGCATAGAAAAAACTCACAGGGTCTGGGGATTCATTATGTTATTCAAAACTCAGGCCTTATAAGCACATGCTAGTTGCATGCAGTCTGAAATCATGCAAATACCCTGTTCCTTCTCCAAAATAGAAACTCTTTGGATCTTTAGGTTTCAAGACATATTCTGGACCAAAGTCTGGATCTGTGAGACATTGATTCCAGAGCCAAACACTTACAATAGCTTCAGCCAAAAATTAGGCAAAGCAAGATGGTTTCAGTGAGGCACAAATATGCAGGGAGCATCTGACCTTGCTTGAACCTAAAATGCAAAGCTGAATTGCATGCATACCCCTGTGTAAGATCTGTTCCCAAGCTGCCTGCCAAGATTCTCTGTTAGAAGCTACTGCTCCAATAAAAGGCTTGGCAGAATGTAGCATGTGTCTACAGTTCAGCATCTTCAGTTGATAATCTAGCATCTTAACTTTCACCAGTATTGGAGATGGGTTTGAGATGGATTATGAATTGCAACTGTTCAGGCATATATTCTCTTCTCCATAACCTCTAGCAATGAGAAAGGGAAGCGCAGGTAGGGATGACAATGTCTTAAATTCCTGCCATTAATGTATTCCTTTGTAAAAATGTGTTCTTTGAATTTAAAACCCCATCAACTAAAAGCAATAGCAAGAATCTGGGTGACAGATAACAAGGAGGCGGGATATCTGTTATTGTGACCTAGTAGCTTTGGGGTAGCAAACATCCCGTTGTTTGAAGCTTGGAATTTATACAAAATTTCTCATTTCCTCCTTCCTGTAAGTACA